TGTTCCTTTTAGTATTGCTCAGTTATTGCTCTCCCCTGTTTCTACTAAGTCTGTAGTAACCAGTCAAAAAATCACAGTTACTATGGACACAAAATTTAGCTATTCTCTTGTGAAATCTGAAAAAAAACATGTGTTTGTGTTTGTACATGGCTAAACATCTTTTACATACACCCTTAAAGTCACACACACACACATATAAATATATATATATATATATATATATATATATATATAACTGTTTATTTCTTGAAGATATTCTTTCACTTTCCATCAACTGAAGATTGTGCAATTCTCTAAGAATCATGAGGGCATATAAAAACTGCAAGTCACTGATATAGTAAAAGCTAAGTAAAAAAGTAGCTTTTATATTGCACACACACACACACACAAAATATGCACATTATATATATATATATATATATATATATATTATTCTTGCAAATATATATATATATATATATATATATATATATATATATTCAGCAACTGATTTAACTAATTTTGTTGATTTGTGAGCCTGATTGAATTTCCAGTGAGTCTCCCTCCTTCTGACATATGGCATTAATCATTTGTGTTTGCCATTTGCGTTATGTAAACTTCTTTTCACTTTAGAAAACACAGCTGAATCTTTGCCAACAGTAAACCATATCATTCAATCTCCTAATCATATATTGCATATATATATATATATATATATATTAACACTATTTTGTTTGTTTATGTTGCTTAAATGAATTCTTGACCATTAACAATATATATTTCTTGATTTGCAATGGATTGAATATATGAATAAATTTTTTATAAACACTGCAATTTGGCAAAACATTTAGTTTGTTATAATTTTTTTAATCCTTTCACTCCAAGCAAGGTGATAATGCTACTAAGACACAAGGTTACTGAAAGTGAAAGAGAATGAGAAGGCTATAGTGAGATGAAATGACAATAAAAGAACAGAATTCAGAAAGACACAATTTAAAGATTGTAGATGGCAGAGAAACAAGAAACTGGAAGAGATTTCCACAGGCAAGAAGTGGAAAAAAAGAAACTATTTGAAGAGTGAGACCTAGTTGCCAATCTAGTAGCATTCATAAATTCATGCAGTTGAGACATCAAAAAGGAAAGCATATCAGAACAATTGCCATGAAAATATCAGTAGAAAGGACAGAGGAAGCCACATCACAGCTTGAGACACAACTGAAGTCAAGATGCCAGATCAGGACAGATTATATTACAGACTCTTTTTTGAATTTTGTCAAGAATCTCAAGATATATAGTAGGAGCACTAGACCAAGTATGGCAGCAATATTCAATGCATGAGAAAAATGGTAGATTTATAAATGTACAAGATGGATTATGGTAAGAAAAATTGATTGGCATAACACAATGAACCAACATTCCAAGCAGTAGACCTTGCAATTAATTCCATATAATCACTCCACTTCATGTCAGTGGAAAATGTGAACCCAAAGACATGTGAAGTGTTGTTCTCCTGAAGGTTAGCATCAGCCATAATGATAGTAGGCAGAAAAGGTTCTCTATAGTGATTAACTGAAAGCAGTTTTGTTTTGGAGGTGTTCGAATTTTCCTTTCTCCAGTCAAAAACCAATTGGAGGTCCATTTCAAGAGTGTTTGCCAATTTTACTTTGTCAGGCCTGTTGGACTTGCTACTAAGACAGAAGGAAATAGTTGTGATGTCAGCATAAATATCTAGTTGAGAACTGATGATTTTGAGAAGAATATTGATGAAGATAAGAAACAATGTAGATCCAAGTATAGAGTCATCAGTGATCTCCACATTAATGTGAAATGAACTAGAAATGATTGTAAGAAATATTGGATTAAAACAAATATTTATCCAGAGACACCATAACACGTGAGCTTGTGGAGAAGGCCAGCATGCCAAACCTTGTTGAATGCATTCAAGAAACCTAAAGCCAGAGTTTGAGCTTCACCATTCTTATCTAAATTGTGTTAGACAAATGTAGTAATAGCCATTAACACATCAGCCATTAGAGAAATGGAAGACATTGTTTATTTGAAAGAAAGCCATGTGAAGTTAGATGCTTAATCAATTCAGTGTTGATTAGAGCATCTAGTACATTGCCAAAAAGAGGTAAAAAACTAGGTGGTAATTCAAGAAGTCGGAATGTTCACCACAGATCTTAAAGACAAGAAATACAAAAGAGGAATTCCAACAAGCTGGAAACAAAGAACCAGTGAGGCATTTATTGTAGAATTTGGACAAAACAGGAACTGGTTCAGGAGAATATTTCTTCAGAATATGACTAATGCTATGATAGAGCTTTATGAAGTAATGGAAAAGACAGTGGGCTGTAATAAAAAAAAAATTAAATTTAGTGTATGCATACAAGTTTTGAATGCATCTGGCATGATGATATTTTCGTTGTTTTTTTTTTTTTGCAGTATTAGAATTTAACTGTATACACTATGTCAGGTTTTATTATGCAAGTTAATATCTTCCAAGTAAGATATGTATTTATCAACTGATATTCATAAAATGTTGAGGATATTCTGATATTTATATTTACATATAACATGAATTTCATTTTATATGTTCTTATTAAAAAATATAACAATAACATATTTGGGAGTATAGCAACTTATGACATGACTCAAGAATTTGTCATCATTATATTAATATTGTAAATAAATACAATACAGTGTAGGTATACAGAAGGTGATTATCTCCCTTTCATGGAGATAAATCACCTGGGTCACGGGATGGCCAGTTAGTGGTGTTGCTCCATACAGTGACAAAAACAGCAGTCAATTTCAGTCAGTTTACAGTAGCCAAACTAAGAGGTTGCTTTCTTTAGAACACCGCCTACACCACAGCCTGGGCAGAGGTTAAATCCGCCTTTCCAGCAGGTTACAAATCTATGGTGCTGTTTCCCTTTGGGAAAATATATCTTTCTCCAGGTTGCAGTCCTCAATTTGGGAAAACCCAAGACTCACTGTTTCCCTTTCATGGAATATGTCCAAGTGGTATAAAAGTCTCTGAGAACAAAGTATATTTGTCATTCCTTTTCCTTTCAGCCATTCTGTCTGTGAAACATGGTGTTATTATATCATGGATTTGATAATGCCTATAATGGGAGAAATATAAATAAGAGAATAAACCTTTCTACCATAGCTCTCTCTCTTGTTATAATTGCATTCATCATTTTAATATGCATTGTAATGTAATTTTCTATGTATGATACGCTTTTCTATCATTATTCTTCTTTTATGCATCATGTCTCTTCAGGATATGGTTGATCATGGCTCTCAACAACTTCCTGCCTTTGTAGCTCTAAGTAATGTTTGATTCTTTACCATCCTCCTTTGTCCCCACTCAGACATCCATTTACAGAACTCTGTAGGTTGGTTGTTAACTGTTTTCCTCTGCTTGTAATATTGCCAAGCCTTCTTTCCTCATTGAATCCTAGAGATTTTAACTGTTTCATTCTGATTTTAAATATAAGTGTCCTTTTAGTTCCCATAGCCCTCCCCCATTATGCTGTTACTGATAGTCACATTTTGAACTTGAGATATCTGCAGAATAGAAAAATGTAACTTCAAAGGAGAAGCAAGTTACCATAAGGTTATTGAGTGACAAGAAGTTAATGTCAGACATAGATGAAAAGTAATCGTAGAACAATAAAAAAAGAGGTTGAAAAATGATGAAATAAGAAAAAATACCTTCAAGAATGTTACAGAAAAAGAGATTTGTGAAAAATGAAAATAAAAATAAGCAAAAATGTAGACAGATCAACAGGAAATTATTTGAAGCTGGTGTTGTAAATGTAAACAAAGAGAAAAGATGTAGAATATAAAGAACAGAGATTAAATATTTAGACACAACAAAACTATGAAATTTAAGTTAACATCACAAAGAGAAATGTATAAGATTGATGTAGAATATATAAAAATTGATTGCTCAATAATAATTCTATGAATATAGAGCTCCATTGGATGATCTGATGACTGTGATTGAGGTTAGAATCATTCATGAAAATAGCCACCCAACACTATTTAGAAGATAGTCATATAGACAAGTAATATTTCGATTTAGTATTTTACAGAGTAAAATTATAGGTATCTTTTATACTGATGATTGTATGAAAAAGATGCAGAGAATTATTGTATGTTTTTGGATGAGATACTTTTTGAGTAATACAGATCACAAGCATGAAGTTTTAAGTTCAAGTGTATATTCATATAATTCAATGATCATTTATATAGTGAAAACTGGTTATTGCTCAGCTTACAATAAAAAAAGTTATTATTATTATTTGATGTTGAACAACAGTACAAATCACAGAGGAGATAAATTTAGTCCTGCAATCTGTTGAGACAAAATTGAATTTTTATTGAAGATTTAAAACATTTAATTAAGCAAATCAAATTCTTTTCTCGTTAATCAAAAAGCTATAAGTGGAAGAGAATGAAATTGAATAAAACATTTTCTGGGATTGGATCAAAAGAATAGCTGCTTAAGAATTGTGGCTTAATACTTCTCATTTGATTGGGCTAAATGATATTTACAGAAATATTTATATGATTTAGAGCCATACTAATGACCTCGTCACAGTTTTCAGAATCACAATGTTTTGGTTGTTGTACCCTCTGGCCTTCATCAGATGTCAGACTGAAATTTTGTTTTCTGAACTTTTGAAATTAAAGTCTTCTTTCTTCCAAATATTTTTATGCTGTTGATTTCATCATCATTATTCTTTTCAATCCAGTATTTTTGTTTGACACATTCTCTAGCTAGCCACAAACATGTGTTGTATCCAAAATTTGCTTGTGGAAAGCCAAAGAATGTAGTGACTGAAAAAGGGATGATAAAAAACAAAGATGAAGACAACAGTGTGAATAATAACTGAAATAAACTACATTTCCAGAGGGTGGTGTCCTTTCAAATTCTATCCCATGACATTCCTAGTGTTTCTTAAAGTATCTCTTAAAGTACTAATTGATATAGGTTTACAGCCACATCACATTAAAACAACAGTTCCCATGCGATCACCAAAGTTAAGCAACATTGAGCCTGATCAGTACTTAGATGGGTGACCACTTTGGAATACTGGGTGCTGCAAGCTTGGATATGTGGATGGTGTAATAGAAAATGGCTTGGAATTGGTTCAGGAATTTGGTGACATAAGAGTTCAATAAATCTACTCAACAGATTAAATAAAGGGTTCAGTTCAAAATTCCTTGTAGGTTACCCAGATCAGCCAAAACGTTGTGATAACAAAGATGAGAACAATAGTCTGAAAGTAACTCATGCAAATAATGATAACTCCTTATCCCAGAAAACCAATTCCTGTATGATCAGCAAAGTCAAGCCTGGTCAGTACCAAGATGTGTGATTGTTTGGGAATACCAGGTGCTATAAGCTTAGATATGCAGGTGGTTTAACAGATAATGATTCAGAATTGTTAATCAGAGAGCTGAGTTCCAATTCCAGTTGGGTTCTTATATTCATTTATGTGCAATTACCCTGTGGAGAGTTAAGAATCCTCCTCCCAACTATGGGTTAATTAGTAAGACTTGTCTCACTAAACCATTATTATTTCAAAAAATTCTTACAATCTAAAATTTTTTTTCTAGCTTTAAATAACCTGCAAAGGGTTGATAAGCTGCAAAAAATGAATCAGTCAAATAAAATGATTGACAAATTGGACAAGGTTACATATTATGTCCTTTATACCTAACAAAAGAATTTGTTTGTTAGGACTTCTGTGTGTGTGCTACTGTATTTATTCATTTTTCTTTTGTTTTCTAGTTACTAATTAAGTCTGACACAAGGCTACAATAGTAGAGCACCTCATGACCTCCTTAGTCTCATGACCAGATGTAGGTGTAAAATCACATAACATCTGAGTAGATCCCTCTCCATGTCTGGATTTAAAGAGATATTTAGAGAGGTGTTCATTCATGTGTAGTGTGATTTGGGCAATTAGACCTGACAGTGCCCATCCCTCACAAGGTCAAACTACAACTAATTTGAAGGCTTACCTCAGTTCCAGACATATAGCCATGGATTCCATTTTCCCTCCACCCAGCAATGTCTTTATCACACTGGATGCATACATAGCTATGGAGTCCAGTCTATCCCATTATGCTAGATAGCCACTGACCCCACAAACATAGAAAATGTTGAGCACCCAATATAGATTAAACTCTCTCCATTAGCAAATTGGTTAGACTGAGAAACTTGCTGAACTTCATATTGCAGTAGATATTCTTGTACTTGCTTGTCATGTGTATTTAGACATATTTATATATATATATATATTTGAATAATGTATATTTGAGCAACAATTTTTCATTTATACCTGTATTATTGAAATTTTTTATTATTTTTGTTTTCATCTTTTCACACCAAGCAAGACAGAAATGCTACTAGTGCACATGGGAGTTACAGGGATTGAACGTGAAAGATTGAGGAAAGGACAAAATATGAAGGGGATTCAAGAAAACAGAATCGCATTGAAATTTTTGAAGGTTGTAGTTATCAGGGAAGAAAGTAAATGAAAGGGAGTTCTACAGGTGAGAGGTGCAAGAAAAGAAACTTCTGGGGTGGAAGGGCAGTTGCATTTAACCATTTCAATAGTAAAAGGGTGGGATGGAGATGACAATCTAGCAGCATTCTTAAATTCATTTAATCAGGGCACCAGGGGAAAAAAGTTTGTCAAAGCAGTTGCTAAGAAAATATTTGTAGAAAAGGTAGAGGAAATCTACATCATTTCAGTGAGAAAGTGACTGAAGTTGAGATGCCAAGTCAAGATTGATTACATTGCAGATACTTCATTGGATTTTGTCATGAATCTCAAGATGAAAAGCACTGACTAGATGTGGTATTTAATGCATGGATGAATACAACAGAGAAGAAATACATTCTAAGTTCTTTTAGTAGTTTCTCTTAATTTCATATCAAAGAATGAATATTTGGTTGAAGGTTATGCAGGAACTGTCCACAATTTTTTTTGATTCCAGTACTTTCAACCATTCTCTAGTTATTCTCAAGAAGAAAAAATATGTTCTATCTGACTGTTATATCCTTAAAGAGGTTACAAACAGACAAAGGTGGTACTCAGGTGAAGGAACAGTAACATGCGCGTAGATGAAAGAAAGAGAGGTTTAATGTAAAAAAAGAATACACTACTGAAAAACAGGAAATCGGGTGGCAGACTAGAAATTACTAAACCAAGCCCCCAAGTATATCCTGTGCTCACTATATATAGCTACTGATATAGTCAGTACACATAGGCGATAAGGAGTGTGGGACATTCCATTACAACACTGACAATATATTGGGGTTTCTGTAAGAGTATGTTTATGGTTTAAAGATTTTATCTCAAAACATTGTATTGAAAAAAAAAAAAGCAAGGAAATCCATTGGTTACAATGTCCCTATCTTCAGCCCTGTTAAATGAATTTTGGAAACTTATATTAGATTTTTTATTGTATACATTTGTGCCCTTATTCCTATAATCATGCATGATTTCATATGTACAGAGAATTAACTGAATACACAAAAATAGAAAGAAGTGTAAGACAAGGATGCATCACCTCAACAAATTTATACAACATTTACAGCAAAGGTGATTTTAAAAGAACTTTGAAGTCCTACTATGATTTATTATTTGTGGGCACAGAATCTTAATAAGTAGACAGAATGCATTGTTTTCAGCAAGAAAAACAGCTCACAATGTTAGCAATGAGTTAAAGATATCAAAATTAAGCAAGTACAAAAATTTAAATATCTGGGAAGTGGTTTGGTTTGGTTTGTTTTATGGCATATCAACCTCAATGTGTTATTTAATGCTGACAAGATTTTTATTGCTGGTAATATATTTATTTTCTTCAAAAATGTATTGTTGGCAATAATTATTTACAAAAATATATTGCTGGTAATATTTTTTTCCTTCAAGAATGTGTTGCTGGTAATATTTTTTCCTTCAAAAATGTATTGCTGGTAATATTTTTTTCTTCAAAAATGTATTGCTGGTAATATTTTTTTTCTTCAAAAATGTATAGCTGTCTAATATTTTTTTCTTCAAAAATATACTACACCTAATAATTTTTCCACAAAAAATTTATAACTGCTATTAAAACCTATTGTTACACTTTCATAGTGTTTTGACCAAAGTTTGGGTATTAAATATTTGCCCAGAGTTGGGACCCTAAAAAGTGCTACCACCTTGCATGGACCTGGGAATACCAACAATTAAGAGGTGGTTCCATGCTCCTCAAAACCTCCTGATCAGAGGCCTTGCTGTTGGACATAGTTTATCATCTTACCCAGGACAAAAGAAGTAAGTGTTTTAACAGGGGATATAAAATGTGATACCAAAATGTGAAGGTGCATTGGAGTAGCAAAAGATGACTTCTAAAAGCTAAGCAAAGTATTAAGAAATAGAAAGATTTCATTAGAAACAAGGAAAAGAATACTGAACGTCTTCTGATCTAGGAGTGAATCTTGGACAATTTCCTTGCAGATGAAGTTGAGACTTGAGGTAACAGATATATGATTCTACAGAAGGATGCTGAGAATTTCATGAACGGAGCATGTCAGGAAGTTTTAAGGAAAATGGAGATGAAAATTATGCTTATACTTAGAATCAGAAAGAGTCAGTTGAAACTTCTTGGATACATGATGAGAAAAGAAAACTTGGAAAATTTAACAAACATAGAGAAAATGCAGGTTGCCTACCTAACAAGCTTGTGCAAATGAATAGCGGAAGAGGTACGGGGCTAGTAAAAAGATAAATATTGCTAAGGACTACAAAGGATAAGAATTTTGTGGTAAGCCATAATTGCCCACATCCTGAAGGTACGCAACATAGAGAAGTCTATGTGCATGAGTATTACCAATTTCTCCTTCACATGCACAGTTTTGTAGGTGTATATGAATGCATATTTGTTTTTCTGTGCTTGGTGTATGCATAAGCCCGTGTGTTTAAGTTTACATGTAAAAGTGTTTTAGTATGTATGTGAATGCATTTATATGTGTGTGCATGTGCGTGTGTATGTTTTACTTTCTATGTTAACTTTTATCTGAAAAAATTTAATTAAAATGAAATGTAACGTTAAACATTATTTTTTAATAAATTAAACAATGATGAAGGAAGATGACTAGACACTAACACCAGATGACAGTATTTATTATGTGTTTTCAGGATGCTGCCAATCATGGCCCTTCACAACTTCTAATGCTCTAAGCAATGTTTCTCCCATTACTATCCCTCCCAATCTTTGTTCTGCTATCTATTTGCACAAGAATGTTAGGTTTCTTCATTTTCCTCTGTCTGTCATGCCTTTTATGTCCTTTGAGTGTCAAATTTTTCAGTCCTTCTCTCCTCATTATGTACTCCAGAAATTTCAGCTGTCTCTTACCGATTCTAAATATAAATGTCCTTATTGCTTCCATTTTACTCAAAACTTCCTCATTACTCATATACTCTGTCTATGGCATTTTCAGTATCCTTCTTTAGAAGTACATATCTGTTGATTCAAGTCTCCTCAATTGTGAGGAAAATGTCCAGTATATAGGAGGATTAATATTACATTGCAGTTTTGCATGTTTTTCTTTGTTTTAAGGAAATTTTCTGATTTCTTATTAAGTTTAGCTTTTGGAAGGTATCATTTAATTAAAATACTGAAACCATGATGTCATTTGTATTTAATACAATTTAATATGATATGTTCATTATGTTTCTATCAAACACACACATACACACAACACAAATACATGCAATTCAATATATTTTTATATATATATATATATATATTTACTGTTCTGTAAGATATTAACTCATCACATAAGTGTCGGTAGTTGTCATTGTAAAAATGCTTCAAACTACAGAGTGAATCAAAGACAAAATTGGGACCTTTAATCTCTAAGTGATGAATATTTATATCCATTTATGGAAGACACATTTTGAATTCAACAATCAATTGACATATTGATGGGAAATCAGTTAAGTTTGAGTCTCAGAAAATGGCATTCCCCAATATAAATCACTTTGATTGATTGCATTTTGTAAGGCAACTTTTGTAAACACTTTAAAATCACACACAACGTCTAAGAG